TATATTATATTATTATCATTCCTTCAGTTTTATTCCTATTATATATTATATTTTTATCATTTCTTCAGTTTTATTCTTATTATATATTATATTATTATCATTCCTTCAGTTTTATTCCTGTTAAATATTATATTATTATCATTCCTTCAGTTTTATTCCTATTATATATTATATGATTATCATTCCTTCAGTTTTATTCCTATTATATATTATATTATTACCATTCCTTCAGCTTTATTCATATTATATATTATATTATTATTATTCCTTCAGTTTTATTATTATATATTATATTATTATCATTTTTATTCCTATTATATATTATATTATTATCATCCTTTCAGTTTTATTCCTATTATATATTATATTATTATTATTCCTTCAGTTTTATTATTGTATATTATATTATTATCATTCTTTCAGTTATATTTTATATATTACATCATTATCATTCCTTCAGCTTTATTCCTATCATATATTATATTATTACCACCCCTTCAGTTTTATTATTATATATTATATCATTACCATTCCTTCAGTTTTATTATTATATAAAATATTATATTATTATCATTCCTTCAGTTTTATTCCTATTATATATTATATACTTACCATTCCTTCAGTTTTATTCCTATTATATATTATATTATCATCATTTCTTCAGTTTTATTATTATATATTATATTATTATCATTTCTTCCGTTTTATTCCTATTATATATTATATTATTATCATTCCTTCAGTTTTATTCCTATTATATATTATATTATTATCATTCCTTCAGTTTTATTATTATATATTATATTATTATCATTCCTTCAGTTTTATTCCTATTATATATTATATTATTATCATTCCTTCAGTTTTACTATTATATATTATAAAATTATCATTCCTTCAGTTTTATTATTATATATTATATTATAATCATTCCTTCAGTTTTATTTCTATTATATATTATATTATTATCATTCCTTCAGTTTTATTCCTATTATATATTATATACTTACCATTCCTTCAGTTTTATTCCTATTATATATTATATTATTATCATTTCTTCAGTTTTATTATTATATATTATATTATTATCATTTCTTCAGTTTTATTATTATATATTATATTATTATCATTTCTTCAGTTTTATTCCTACTATATATTATATTATTATCATTCCTTCAGTTTTATTATTATATATTATATTATTATCATTCCTTCAGTTTTATTCCTATTATATATTATATACTTACCATTCCTTCAGTTTTATTCCTATTATATATTATATTATTATCATTCCTTCAGTTTTATTCCTATTATATATTATATTATTATCATCCTTTCAGTTTTATTCCTATTATATATTATATTATTATCATTTCTTCAGTTTTATTATTATATATTATATTATTCTTAGCCTCTGATTAAACTGGAAGAATTGTCACGTGCTAAATCTTGCATGAATGTGTCGATCAGGTCTAGTTACCATTCCTTCAGTTTTATTCCTATTATATATTATATTATTATCATTCCTTCAGTTTTATTCCTATTATATATTATATTATTATCATTCCTTCAGTTTTATTCCTATTATATATTATATTATTATCATTTCTTCAGTTTTATTCCTATTATATATTATATTATTATCATACCTTCAGTTTTATTCCTATTATATATTATACTATTATCATCCTTTCAGTTTTATTCCTATTATATATTATATTATTATCATTCCTTCAGTTTTATTCCTATTATATATTATATTATTATCATTCCTTCAGTTTTATTCCTATTATATATTATATTATTATCATTCCTTCAGTTACATTTTATATATGATATTATTTCAAACTGAAGGAATGGTATTTATGATATAAAAATCTTAATTTAGAATAATCATATTGGTTGTTAGATTCTGTTAATTGCAAATCTTCTTCTCATTCTTAACGAGACTTATAGGATAGAAGGATAAAATGCATAATTTCTCCGAAGCGTAACAGGGCTCCAAGGGAGCGGAGCGCTTGAATCTGAGAGCTTTTCAGTATATAAGACAATCTCAAAATTTTCTTTTGTTTGAGATGACTTCTATAGGTTATAAAGGAAGCTAGGCCAAATTTTCTCTTCCTAATTATTCATGTCTTATCTCCCACTGTGGTTTATTATTCGAAATTCTCCCTCTTTTGGAATGGCTATAAGACTGATGATGTCATTTTTTTCTAAACAGCGCAGGGAACGTCGGCTAGCGATACTGCTGAAGTAAAGCATCAGTAGATGAGGAGGCCTTTTGCTGCATATATGAGTGGGCTTAGTGTTATTACCGTGCCCCACGGTCACAAAGATTAAAATTTTACAAAATCAAATCAAAATCAAATCTATATTTTTACCTTGCTTCAGGGGGATACAATCTAGACTAGTTCAGATATTTTTCTAAATTATTCTCAGATTTCATGTGTTTCACTTATAAAGCAGGTCTACCTTGGACAAGTCCTGTGTCTATCGGGTGGTATACTAAACTCTGGCGGTGGGACTGGGTGTTGAATTAAGACCATAAAGTGATAACATTGTATCATTGTGGTTAGTAGGCACCATCTTGAAAGTAGAGTACATTATTGTCAATGTCAGGAATTGAGAGGGTAAATAGAGTGAAATTAATAGAATGAAAGTGATAATAAAAACCTTGTGAGTTTGTGAATGGATGCACAGAAATAGCAATGCATGTATTCTCCTATTTTCAATACATAATGATCTTATACAAAAAGAGATTTAACTTAGTTGAACGATTTCAGATCGATGAATACGATAACAACTCAAGATTTCAGACAGTGAATACGATAACAACCTGAAAACTTTCAGATAGTGAATACGATAACAATCGGAAAACTTTCAGATAGTGAATGCGATAACAACCTGTACAATTTCAGATAGTGAATACGATAACAACTGTCATAGTCAGACATTAATATCAATATTGAGAATTTTCCTTTGTTATTAAATATTTCAGTACATCTGATTTCTACTTGTGAATTCAAAAAAGTATGTCTTATTGAGCTATTTGATATTAACATGAATACTATCAATACATTTACGGCTTCCAACTTCTAATTCACGTTCATTTCTAATAGTGAATCTAATATCGGAAACACTGAATACCAACAGAACTGGATGAGCCTTTCTACCTTATGGAAGCCGGCTGCGGCCATATCTACTCTCGACTTCTCACCCACGAGAAAGCGAGAAAAAAAGCGAGGAAAAAAGGCGAGAAAGAGAGGGTAAAAATAGATGAGGAAAAGGGCGAGGAAAAGGGCAAGAAAGCGAGAGTGAAAAAGGCGAGAAAGCGAGGAAAAAGGCGTTGGCGAGAAGTCGAGGGTAATATGACCGCAGCCGGCTTCCATAATATCTAGTAAACTGTAATCATATTTTCCCTCTCCTGTCCGTCTTACATGACAGTCATAAGGCTTGTGTTCTACCATTTCAAATTTAGGAATACTTTCAATTAAGCTTTAACCCAGTTTACTGGTCATAAAAATTTTCAATAAATTTGCTTTTGCTTCAACTAAAAAAATAAATGACTGTAACCAACAATATTTCAAAATATCTTCATAGGCCTATCTGTTTAGTCTGAATTCTCAAAAATCTTTGGAAGGACCTAAAGTATAGTGGGTATTGATTGATGGTATACTTGTTAAAAAAATTAACTCTTGTTTTATATACATATATTTGTAGATATGAGACCCCCCAAAAATTGATGGTTTACAACATTCAAATATGAGCTTTACGGTGCTAATGCTTATGTTAATGGGGTATTCGCTTTTTAAAACAACGTTTTCATTATCAAAAATCAAAAAAAGAAAATTATACCTTAAAAATGCTCGTTATAGGAATTGAGGAATTGCAAAAAAGGGAAACATTTAACTAGTCCTTGTCTTTGTTCTGGAACACTCTCAAAATTTTCTTCATGGACACTCTAAGGGGCAATTCTGATTTGCTGAAATTTAGTACATTTTTGTAAAGAAATTGAGATGACGTAATTTGACAGCCCATTCGAAAAATCAAGCACATGATAATAGTACTTTAGTAGAGAAATAGGCTACAATTGTGCCATATTAGATGTATGAACACTTCCTTTGTGATAACATTTTAATACATTTTTGTGAAACACCAAATTCTCATCTATCATGCTGTCTTTCAATGCGTTGTGCCATCAGTATATC